GCCTCCCCCGCATCACCCCCTCCCCACTTGACTCTCTCCACTCGCCTTCGCTTTCCACTTCTACCCAGCCTGTACTCTCTCCGTACCGTACCTTCTCTTCCCCACAATTACCATTCAGCCCCCACATGACCACGTATATTACCGTCCTTTGCCAGCCAAGCTTGTACGCTCCAAGCTTTGACGAGGGGTAAATACGGTAACCCAGCTGGTGACCTCACCTCACCCAGATCGAGGCGCCGCCGGGGTACTCTCGTCATCTCATCTCCCCCTGTTTCTTCCTCCCTTCTTCTCCATCTAGCCACTCCACATGCGCCGCGCCAAACGCCCACCATTATTACTACCTTCCCTTCCCTTCTCTCGTTTCAGTCAACTTCGCCATGGCCTCGCCTGCGCCCACCCACCACGCCAAGCGCCGCCGCCTCGCCCTGCCCCCGCCCCCGCCCCCGCACCTCAACGACCTCGCCGACGAGCTCCTCTTCCTCATCCTCGACCGTGCCGCCGCCCATGACCCACGCGCCCTCAAGTCCTTCTCCCTCGTCTCCCGCGCCTGCCACGCCGCCGAGTCGCGCCACCGCCGCGTCCTCCGCCCCTTCCGCCCCGACCTCCTCCCCGCCGCGCTCGCCCGCTACCCCGCCATCTCCCACCTCGATCTCTCCCTCTGCCCCCGCCTCCCCGACGCCGCCCTCGCCGCGCTCCCCGCCGCGCCGTTCGTCTCCGCCGTCGACCTCTCCCGCTCCCGCGGGTTCGGCGCCGCCGGCCTCGCCGCGCTCGTCGCCGCGTTCCCCAATCTCACGGACCTCGACCTCTCCAATGGCCTCGACCTCGGGGATGCCGCGGCGGCGGAGGTGGCCAAGGCGCGCCGCCTCCAGAGGCTCTCGCTGTCGCGATGCAAGCGCATCACTGACATGGGGCTCGGATGCATCGCCGTCGGATGCCCCGACCTGCGCGAGCTCTCGCTCAAGTGGTGCATCGGGGTCACTCATCTGGGACTAGACCTCCTTGCCCTCAAGTGCAACAAGCTCAACATCCTGGATCTCTCCTACACCATGGTACTTATGCCTTGCCTCTTCATCTCTCTGTTCCATTTCATTTACTGTATTTCTTCTTGTACCTAGACGACAGAAAGGGAAAAAAGAATTCCCTTTTCCCCTTCCATTCGCTTCTTGATTTCAAGGTCAGGTTTTTTTGAGGAAACTTAATTTAGTGGTTTTTTTTCTTGTTCTGGTTTGTGAATCTGCCGGTTCTCTGCACCTGACATGAATATTGCCCACAAAATAACATTAGCCTATGATGGCAGAAGCGCTTTGGAAATTGGTCTATTCTTGATCTGCAGATGCTCTTATCTATACCCAAAATGATCTTTGCCTCACCTTTTCAATTGTCAGAACCTGTAGTAACTAGTAGTACAGTAGTATCCAGATTCCTACTTCTCCCGTTGATTTGTTTTATCATCATTTTTTGGTTATAGGTTAATTATTTGCCCTGCAGTTTAGATCACACTCATCAGACTAAGAAAAAAATGTTGTGCAGATAGTAAAAAAATGCTTTCCAGCCATCATGAAGCTACAAAATCTACAAGTGTTACTACTGGTGGGATGTAATGGAATTGATGATGATGCCCTTACTAGTCTTGATCAAGAATGCAGCAAATCACTACAGGTAATCATCAACCCCTATCTTTTTCACTGTGAGCATTGTGTTAGCTAAATTTGAATCTGGTTAATATCCTTGTTTATCGTCTTCTGCTCTGAGTATATTCAGTTAGCTTCTCATGTAAAGTAGGTTTGCAATGCTAATGTTGTAGGGATACTAACATGTATATACCTCGTATATTGTTTGGTACATTTCAATTCAGGCTATATGGATATTGCAACTGAAACAATTTGGACTAAATCATTGTTAGCCTTCAACAATAAGAGTATCACAAGTTCTTGTAACTGAGAGCTGAAATTATGTCTGTACTCTTTCAGGTTCTTGATATGTCAAACTCTTACAATGTCACTCATGTCGGTGTTCTGTCCATTGTGAAGGCAATGCCGAATCTGTTGGAACTCAATCTATCATACTGCTCTCCTGTAAGTAGCCCACTGTCTAGTTTTATCACCTGAACAATTGGACATAACTTGAGCTCAGTTTATCTACACTTTTCTTGTGGCAGGTTACTCCTTCTATGTCAAGCAGCTTCGAAATGATTCATAAATTGCAGAAACTGAAGCTGGATGGTTGCCAATTCATGGATGATGGATTAAAATCCATTGGGAAATCCTGTGTTTCTTTGAGGGAGTTAAGTCTGAGCAAATGTTCTGGAGTGACAGACACAGACCTTTCTTTTGTCGTGCCAAGACTGAAAAATTTGCTGAAGCTGGATGTTACTTGTTGTCGCAAAATCACTGATGTTTCATTAGCTGCCATCACAACCTCATGCCCATCCCTCATCTCTCTGAGAATGGAGTCCTGTAGCCTTGTTTCCAGCAAAGGACTACAGCTGATTGGAAGGCGCTGCACTCACTTGGAGGAATTGGATCTTACTGACACTGATTTGGATGATGAAGGTTTGAAAGCTCTCTCTGGATGCAGCAAACTTTCAAGCCTAAAAATTGGCATATGCTTGAGGATAACTGATGAGGGCCTTAGACACGTTAGCAAGTCCTGTCCAGATCTCCGAGATATCGATTTGTACAGGTTATTCCCTACACATTGCATATTTGATTTCCTTTCCTTCCGTGATAGGTACCAAGACTAACTAATAGCCTCTCTTTCAGGTCTGGGGCGATCAGTGATGAAGGGGTTACTCATATAGCTCAAGGATGCCCAATGTTAGAGTCTATCAATATGTCCTACTGCACAAAATTAACAGACTGTTCACTGAGATCACTTTCAAAATGCATAAAGCTGAACACATTGGAGATTCGTGGCTGCCCCATGGTTTCATCTGCTGGTCTCTCGGAAATTGCAACAGGATGCAGGCTACTTTCTAAGCTTGATATCAAGAAATGCTTTGAGATCAATGACATGGGAATGATTTTCCTTTCCCAATTCTCTCACAACCTCCGGCAGGTATTAGCCCATTCTGCTGTAAAAGAAATAATCACAATACCGTGTTTCCAATTGTCTTAATAACATCTCCTCATCACTGCAGATAAACTTGTCATATTGTTCGGTCACCGACATTGGGCTTATATCCCTTTCAAGCATATGTGGCTTGCAGAACATGACCATTGTGCATTTAGCGGGTGTTACGCCTAATGGACTGATAGCTGCTCTTATGGTCTGTGGTTTGAGAAAAGTGAAGCTTCATGAAGCATTCAAATCCATGGTGCCATCACATATGCTCAAAGTTGTTGAAGCCCGTGGTTGTCTTTTCCAGTGGATTAATAAACCCTACCAGGTATTACTATATTTCTTTTCTGGTTATACAAAGTAAGATGCTAGTCGGTTTACTTGTGTAGAAGAATTAAGTGCAAAATAGTTCACCATTGTGTTTTGGCCATCTTCATTAACTGGTATGCAGTTTATTTGAAAGTAGTGTCTAATAACAGGTGCGGTCTTGGCAGGTTGCGGTAGAACCGTGTGACGTATGGAAGCAGCAGTCGCAGGATTTGCTTGTACAGTGAAATGTTTCAAAGATAAACGTTGTGGAAACTGGGGCGTGTTTTGTGGTGTTGAATTTATCTTAGAGCAATATCTCCAGTCCTAGAGAATGAGCTCCAAAAGTTTTGTGCCATAACTGGCTGAATAGTGTATTGAATTACTGACGGTAGTATTGTCAGAACAACATACTAGTACTGGTATTTTGCTTGTATGCCAGTGGAGGCGAGGGAGGTTATATTCTTGATGTGTTGTATATAGCGCAGGTAGGAATCAACAATCAAAGAGAGATTATTGGGGTAAAGCATGTAGTAAGTGTGGAGTATGTGATATGCCTTGTTGTGCCTTTTTGATGCACAATTTGATTAATGGAATGGAACATTGCATTCGCACTATAATTTGGTTGTTCCATCTCCTAGTGTTTTATGTGTAGTGTTATCTGGAATGAGGTCTCATAGCTTCCTTACCTGAATAAAGGCACTTAACACTATATTAGTTTTCTGCGAAGGTCTGAATGCTAGCTACTAGTTGAGAGTTGAGACATGGTAGCGGGCGGGTTTGTTAGCCATGCCCAGACTGCACAGCTTGTTGGTTGTTGCTACCCCAGTTCACTTCTCCCAGCAGAAAGATGAAGTTTCATTCAACTTTTGCTGTTGTTGGGCAATTGTCTCCAAGGACCGAGGAAATAGGTGAGAGCAATTGTCATAAAAATGCAAGTCACAAGTCGATGTTACAACTGAATATGTGAGAGGAGGGAACAGCAAAAACAGGTAGGCACGGTGTAAAGCATTGAAGATTGAAGAGGAGGATGGATGGGGCGCAGCGCAATGCAAAACTGCAGATGCATGCAGGTAGGCGATTCAGCAGTTGATTCTGGAGCTGAGAAAATAAATAAATACTCTAATTGCTAGCAACCAACGTCCCAACCCAACCAACAGTTGCAATAATGAGCAACTTCCGTCCATCCGCAACTACTGTATACGTGTATACTCTACTATCCATCATCGCCGTTGTGCACAGGGATCCTCCCATCTCCATGTACTTCTCCACGCCTCCATCGATGGATCAGAATTCAGATACAACTCACTTCATCTTCAGAGAAAACCTCGTGTCCTTTTACTACACTGCATTGCATTTGCACTGTCATTTCCTTCCTTTCAGTTTTACTGTATAGTTTCATCTGCAGAATGGTAGACTAGTACACATATACACTGGTAATCGATCAACATAATAAAATGGTAAGATGTTGTCCTGAATTTTTCAGTCATGAAGGACGAAGTGCTTCAACCTTACCTTACCTGTACGGCAGGCATGCATGTTACTCCAGTAGTAAGGTGGTTCGTCGTATGGCCGACGCGGCGAGGCACCAAGACGAAAGACAGCCGGCCTGGCCATCATCGATGCACATCCGTCGTCATTAATGGCCGATGGATGGGGTGCCTGATGCCCAACGCACAACATCACCATCAATGATAAAACAACAAAACTACTTCAACTACCCCTACGCATTCAACTCCATTCTACTCTCTACCCCCTCCTTCCTTCCTTCCTTCCTTCCTAGCTACCTCTACGAAGTACCAGCAGCAGAAGAAGCAATGGGGATCTGCTGCAGCAAGGGGAAGGAGGAGCTTGAGGAGGGATTTCCATGGAAGCACGACGCCTTCTTCCACGACCAGCTTTGGAGCGCTGGCGTCTCCATGCACACCAAGCAAGGCTGGAAGGGCGCTAACCAGGATGCCATGACTACCTGCCAGGTAACCACATCTCTCTTGCATTGGATTGCTTGCTCATCACTTGCTGCCTCATTGTTTCCATGTTTGTTCCAGTCCTCCTTTGCTTCTTGTCTGTACAGATTCTCTCATTTTGATATTATAGTATCATGTACTACACAAGCCGAGTCTCTAGCCATGGAGGAATGGGGTAATGCTAGTCTAGAAAGGGGCTATGTTTGCCTACTACAACTTCAATTCAGGACATGATTTGACTTTGAACACCATACACTAGATTCATCCCTGCTCTGCTGTGCTGAAACTGATTTTTTCTTTGTAGCCTGAGCTGTACCTGCATTTCTGTAATAGCCTGTATTTAGTTCAAATCTTCAACTAGACCTGATTGCTTGCTCTTGCATGTTTGTTCAGTGCTGCTTAGCTTCTTGTCTGTGCAAATTCCCTCATCTTTGTGGTATTATGTACACAAGCTAAAGCTAGCCATGGAGGGAATAGGGTAGTGCTAGTAAGGGGCTTTGATTAGCTACTACAAACTGAATTCAGAACATGATTTGAGCACCGTGCACTAGATTCATCTCTGCTTTTGCTGAAACTGAAAAATGTACCTACATTTCTGTAATATTTACTTCAACTGCACCTGAATCTCTCTAGCTTCCACCTCCAATGCCAGTACATTTCCCTTTTCCCCTTGATGTGCACATTTTACTTAATATATATGTAAGATAATCTGGGTCTTGATGTGCTACCTGTGTCAAGTTTATTAGGACTTTGCGGGGCACAAGGGCCAGATATTTTGTGGAGTTTTTGATGGGCATGGCCCTCTCGGAAGGGAAGTTGCTCGCCATGTCCGCGACGTCCTTCCAATGAAACTATCCTCCTCTTTGGCACTGAAAACTGAACAAGATCCATCCAGCAACACAGATAAGGAAGCCTTGGAAAAATCAGATTGCACCTCATTGAGCGATACAAGCAATGAGAAGCAATTGTTATCCACCTGGAAGAACATATTTGTCAAGACATTTGAGGATGTAGATGATGATCTGAGACAAAATTCTGGAATTGACTGCATTTGTAGTGGCACAACTGCTGTCACTGTCGTCAGGCAGGTACTAGTACTACAACTATGCAAAATTGCAACATTTTTTTGTATTGCCAATAGTCTTGCCTATGTACTAGAAATACACCATTTCTGCCTAAAAAACAAGCTTCTGAAACCCTCAGATGCAACAAAGATACTTGCCGAATTTTATGTGTATGTTACAGCTATACTTGTGCCTAAATACAGAACTCTCAAACTCGTAATCATTCTGTTTAAATTCTCAGCTACTGTTCTTATACACAGGGTGATCACCTGATCATTGCAAATTTGGGCGATTCACGTGCGGTTCTTTGCACCCGAGATAGCAAGGACCGCCCAATTCCAGTTCAACTAACCACTGACCTGAAACCAAATCTTCCAAGTAAGCCTCTGAATTTCTCAAAGTACAGAGATGTCTAAATTTAGACATTCACTTGTCATTCATATGGGGGCTTCTGACAGGCGAAGCTGAGAGAATCCTGAATTGTAAGGGGCGGGTTTTTGCCATGGACGACGAGCCGGACGTGTCTAGGATGTGGCTACCAGACCAAGACGCGCCGGGCCTCGCCATGGCAAGGGCATTTGGAGATTTCTGCTTGAAGAGTCATGGACTTATCTGTACACCAGAAGTCTATTACAGGAAGCTATCCGAAAAAGATGAATTCTTGGTACTTGCTACTGACGGGGTAAGAAAAAAATAAAGACTTTTGTCTGATGATGGTAGCCAAATTCAGTTTCATTTACTCACCATCTTTCCATAATCAAGAGTAACTTTTCTCTTGGTTGTTTCACTACTAGTACTAGAAATGAAATGAGCACAAAGTTAATAGTGCAAAACCAGAAAAGCGACAGTTAACTGAATCATGAATGCCTTTGCCTCAATCAATCAATCGAATTGTTTTTTTTTAAAGATAATGCAACCAATCAAATTGATGTGGGTGCAGATATGGGACGTGCTATCGAACAAGGAAGTGATCAAGATCGTATCGTCGGCTACTGACCATTCCAAGGCCGCCAAGCAGCTGGTCGAGCGGGCGGTGCGCGCGTGGCGGCGCAAGTTCCCGACGTCAATGGTCGACGACTGCGCCGTCGTCTGCCTCTTCTTGAAGCCTTCTCCGTCGTCGGAGGAGAGCACCCATGTAGACGCGAAGGCGCCTCAGGTCGTGTCGTTCACGGGCAGCTTCCGCAAGGCCCTGGGTGGTGGCGGCGGCGGCGAGGCGGAGGAGGGTACGAATGTATGGAGAGCTCTGGAGGGGGTGGCTCGGGTGAACTCGGTGGTGAGGCTGCCGCGGATGGACGCCGTGCTGAGCTGGCGGCGGCGGTCGACGTCGCTCGAGGAAGACGACGATGCGAGGATTGATTGATAACAGTCGCTTTCGTTGCTGGAAAACGTAATCCAGAGGGTTTGATTACATGCTTTAAATGGCAAAAAATTAGGGAGACGCTTTAGAAGTTGATTGACGTAAACGTATGTCGCATTCAGGTTGTTGAGTTGGAATAGGGACCGATACTGCTGCTGCTATCCTCCCTCTCTTGCTTAACTTGATTGTAGTAGCTGAAAATGATTGGCTAGCTGTTTTGGATGTGGTGGCCTTTGTTTGATTTATTGTGATTCTTCCTTCCTTAATGGAGTACGCTATCAACAAATTAAATGGACATATATGATTGATGATTATCTGGGATGGATTAAACTCGATTGCAATTTCAAGTTCATCTGATCTGGGAGCAGAGAAAGAGGAGCCCATGCACTGAAAATTCAGGCAAACAGATCGGGAGAGAAATATATACAGATAGAAAAGACAGATTCTTAATTAGTGTTGGTAGATTATTGAAACTACTCCATCGTTCTCCCAAACAGCCCCTTAATTCAAGTTTCACCCGTTGTCAGTTCTTCTTTTAGTGGAAAAGATTTATCGACGAAGTATCCGCACTGTCACACGGGACATTTGGGACAAAGTATCTGCAAGACTCGACTGTGATCACATATCCACGACGCACAACCCAGATGAAACGCTGCTTGATTGGTGGGAAAGAAGAACAGAGCAAAATGACAAGGACAAGACGAAGGGAACGCGCTCCATTCACATGCTCCTTAGCTGGGAAATCTGGTGTGAAAGGAATAGGCGCGTTTTCAGGAATAAGGAGCTCGCTATCTCACAATTGGTGACCAAAATCCTTGATGAAATCAATGTCTGGATTGCATGCGGGGCGAAGAATTTAGCGAGAATAGTGTTGTAAGCAGTCCCCTGTTGTATCCCCCTGCCCTCTGTACTCTGTTTTGTTTTTCTTTCTTCCCTCTCCGCCTCTGAAGTTGTTTCCTTTTCTGCTCTCTCTCTGCACTTCGGTGACCTTGTACAGTTTCTTCCCTTTCTTAATATAAAACCAGCAAAGCTGGCATAGGTTTAAAAAAAAGATTTATCGAGTATTCATTCCGTCGATGAAACGATGGCATGAATACCAACTAGTATGAGTCATTCTCATTCCCTTCCTCTTGGGCCGCAACGGGATTAATGGCTAGCTTGAGGCCCATACTATTGTTGGGCCGTAACGGGAATGTCAGATACGTGCGGCTCGTCTTGTAGTCGTCGACAAGCCAAGGGGAGCGGAGGCGACGGCGTCGGCGTCAGACCATCACCGACCTCTCCTCTGTTACAAATAAAATTGTGTCGATCTGCTTTGTGTTTTTGGTTCTGGTAGTTTTTGTTAGGAAAAGATAGGCGAACAAACGATAAAGAACAATAGATCAATCACAAAAGACACGAGATTTAACGTGGAAAACCCTCTCAAAACAGGAGAGAAAAAACCACGGGCGCCAGCCAGCAAAATATCTTCACTATATCTGAGGTGAGGTTACATCGCCGCACGGCGGCTTACAAGAGGTATATATATGGTGGAACCCTAAAAGGAACCCTAAACCCTAAACCCGTTCAGCCTTCGCTCCGCTACGGCAGAAGCTGGCCTTTATTATGTGCAAATGAATTTGGATCACAACTCAACAAACTCCACCTTGAGACAAATTCCTTCTTGTAGCATGAATCAATCCTTCATCCTGAACACAACAAAGACCAAAAACACTTTCGGCGTCAAATAGCCTCTCGGGCTAAACCACTATACAAACTAAGCTTGAGCAAAGCTCAAACTTAGCAACAGGAACATGCTTTGTCATCATATCAGCAGGATTATCATGAGTACTTATCTTGCATACCTTTAGCTTACTTTGCGCGACAACATCGCGAACATAATGGTACTTGATATCAATGTGCTTTGTCCTCTCATGAAACATCTGATCTTTGGTGAGGCATATAGCACTTTGACTGTCACAAAACAAGTTAATGCAAGAATCAACTCCACAAAGCTCAGCAAACAATCCTTTCAGCCAAACTGATTCTTTACATGCTTCAGCAATAGCCATGTATTCTGCTTCAGTGGTAGACTGGGCAACAACAGGCTGCAATGTTGCCTTCCAACTCATAGCACAACTACCAATGGTAAACACATAACCTGTGAGTGACCTTCTCTTATCCAAATCTGCAGCAAAATCAGAATCCACATATCCAACAAGCCCCTTATCAGTCCTGCCAAACTTCAAGCAAGCATCAGCTATGCCTTTAAGGTACCTGAAAATCCACTGAACAGCTTTCCAGTGTTCTTTACCAGGATTAGCCATGTATCTACTAACCAAACTCATAGCATGAGATAAATCTGGCCGGGAGCAAACCATGGCATACATCAAAGAACCAACAGCACTAGAATATGGAACTCTAGACATGTATTCTACATCCTCATCAGTACTAGCACATTGTAAAGCTGATAATTTAAAATGAGGTGCAATAGGAGTGCTAACAGGCTTTGCATCATGCATGTTAAAATGCTGAAGAACCTTCTTAATGTAGCTTTACTGACAAAGAAATAACAAACCAGAATTTCTGTCTCTAGTGATTTCCATACCTAGAATTTTCTTAGCAACACCAAGATCCTTCATATCAAACTCACTACTCAACTGTTTCTTCAATGCAGTGATTTGTTCCTTGCTCTTGGCAGCAATCAGCATATCATCAACATATAACAGCAAGTATATAGGTGATCCATTAACAAATTTAATATACACACAGCTATCAAATTCAGACCTCTTAAAGCCATGTGACAACATAAATGAATCAAACCTTTTATACCATTGACGAGGAGACTGTTTCAAACCATACAAAGATCTTTTCAACTTGCAAACATAATCCTCCTTACCAGGTACTATGAACCCTTCTGGCTGGTCCATGTATATCTCCTCCTCAAGCTCTCCATGTAAAAATGCTGTCTTCACATCTATACTGCTCAAGCTCAAGATCATGCATAGCAACAATACTGAAGAATGTGCGAATTGAACTATGCTTTACAACTGGAGAGAACACATCATTATAATCAACACCAGCAATTTGACTGAAACCTTTTGCTACTAACCTTGCCTTAAACCTCGGAGGCTCGCTAGGAGATAAACCCTCCTTTCTCTTGAAGATCCATTTACAATGAACAGGCTTCTTCTGTTTTGGCAAGTGCACAAGCTCCCATGTGCCATTCTTCTCAAGAGATTGCATCTCCTCCTGCATAGCTGAGATCCACTTCTCACGGTCTCCAGAAACAACAGCTTCAGTGTATGTGGCTGGCTCAAGAGTATTCTCCACCTGTTCAGCACAACTAAAAGCATAATAAACCATATCACATTCCTCAATAAAACGGATTGGAGCTCCACAACTCCTCTTTGTTCTGCGATGGGCAATAGGTTCATCTTGTGGCTGCAAAACAGGAGGTGAGTGCTGAACAGTAACATTAACATCATTACCAACAATTTCAGTTTCCTGATCATCCACGTGCTCCACCTGCACGCTAACATATTGCTGCTCCTCATCTGAACCACCTAGTATGACATCTGTGGGCAAGCTGTCATTAAACATAACAGATTCATTGAAAACAACACTCCTACTCATGAAGGTCTTGTTAGTTTTAGGATTCCATAACTTATATCCTTTTACTCCTGAACCATAACCAAGAAATAGACACTTAATAGCTCTAGGCTCTAATTTTCCATTATCAACATGAGCATAAGCGGTGCATCCAAAAACTCTCAATTGTGAATAATCAGCAGGCATACCAGACCATACCTCAATGGGAGTTTTCTTATTAAGTGGGATAGAAGGCGACCTGTTGATCAAGTAGCAGGCGGTGTTAGCAACCTCTGCCCAAAAACGCTTGTTCATGCGAGCGTTGGACAGCATGCAACGAGTATTGGAGATGATAGTTCTGTTCATGCGCTCAGCTACACCATTCTGCTGTGGAGTGTACGGGATGGTGTGATGCCTAACGATGCCTTCCTTTCTGCAGTAATCATCAAAAGCATCTGAACAAAATTCACCACCACTGTCAGTGCGAAGTACTTTTACCTCCTTTTCAGTTTGCCTTTCTATCATAACTTTCCACTCCTTAAAAGCAGCAAATGTATCATCTTTATGTTTCAGGAAATAAGGCCACACTTTTCTAGAGTAATCATCAATAATGGTAAGCATATAACAAGCACCACCAAGAGAGGGCTTACGAGAAGGCCCCCACAAATCAGCATGTACATAATCAAGTATACCTTTGGAGCGATGAACTGAGGTATTGAATTTTACCCTCTTGTGCTTACCAAAAACACAGTGCTCACAGAACTTCATGTTACCCTGAGTGCAGCCATCCAGCAGGTTCCTCTTCATCAATTCTGCCATACCAAGTTCACTCATATGTCCAAGACGCATGTGCCACAGGTTAGTCTTACTAGGTTCATCTTTAGAAACAGCAGCAGCGGTAATAGAACCATGTAATGTACTTCCTCTAAGGACGTATAAGTTTGTAGAATTCATATCACCAATCATGTAAACAAGAGAACCTTTCGATACCTTTACAACTCCACCTGAACCGGAGTATTTGTATCCTTCTGCATCAAGTGTGCTGAGAGAGATGAGATTTCTCGCCATCCCTGGTATGTGTCTCACATCTTTCAGCGTGCGTGTCATGCCATCATGAGTCTTGATCTGAACGGAGCTAATGCCCACGATCTCACGTGGGTTATCATCTCCCATGCGCACAACATCTCCATTCTGCACAGACTTGTAAGAACTAAACTAATCTCTTTTAATGCAGATATGAAACAAACATGCAGTATCAAGTATCCATTCATCATGACTAGCAACACAACCAGCAAAAACAACAAGACAATCTCCTGAATCAGAGTTTTCAGCACTGGTAACAACAGAGGCCTTACCATCAGATTTCCTTTTCTCCTTATTCTGCAGCTTCCAACATTCTTCAATGAAGTGATTTTTCTTTTTGCAATACTTACAGAACTTTTTACCTCTGGATTTAGAACAGCCTCTACTCTGACTCTTGTCACGATCATTGCTGTCGTTGTAGGTTCTCTGCTCAGATCTGCCTCTGACCTGCAATGCTTCGCCCTTAGAGGACGACGCATCAGACTGAACCATACCTTTCATCTTCTCCCTGTTTTGGAGTGCCTCATAAACTTCCGCTAGGGTTAGTTCATCACGGCTTAAAAGTATGGTGTCACGAAAATTTGCATATGAACTAGGCAGTGAGCATAACAGTAAAAGACCTAAATCTTCATCATCAAACTGTACCTCCATCGACACTAGT